CTGGATCCCCGTAATTTAAACAAAGCTATAAAAAGATGTCATTATCCTATACCAACATTTAATGAGATTAGGTCAAAATTAGCAAAAGCAAAATATTTTTCAACACTAGATGCACAGTCAGGGTTTTGGATGATACCATTAGATTTAGAGAGTTCTAAGCTATGCACATTTAATACACCCTTTGGAAGGTTTAGATTTACAAGATTACCTTACGGTATAAGCTGCGCTCCTGAGATTTTTCATAAAGTAATGAATGAAATAGTAGGAGACATAGAAGGAGTTTGTTTATATATAGATGATATTTTAATTTATAGTGAAACTTTGGAAGGTCACAATAAAATACTAGAACTAGTACTAGAAAGGGCAAAACAATTCAATTTAAAATTCAATATGGACAAATGCAAATTTCTATTATCAGATATAAAATATTTGGGTCATATTTTTAGTGCAGAAGGCATATGTCCAGATTCTAGTAAAGTAAGTGCAATTTGTCAAATGTCTATTCCTAACAGTGTAGCTGATATTAGAAGATTTTTGGGAATGATTAATTATTTAGGTGAGTACATAGATAATTTAGCAGAGCGTACAAAAAATTTAAGGTTGTTATTGAAAAAAAATATTAGTTTTCATTGGACAGAAGAGCATGAAAGAGAATTTGAGTCGCTTAAAGAAATGATTAGTCAAACGCCAGTACTAGCATATTTTGATAACAATTTACCTTTAACATTATCAGTTGATAGTTCACAATTTGCAGTTGGTGCAGTGATTTTACAAAACAAAAAACCTATAGCATATGCATCTAAATCTTTGTCACAGGCTCAGTCAAATTATGCACAAATAGAAAAAGAGTTATATGCAATACAGTTCGGATGTACTAGATTTAAACAATACATTTATGGTAGAAAAGTTCAAGTTGAAACAGATCATAAACCATTAGTCAGTCTTTTTAAAAAACCATTATCTGAGGTTCCAGCACGTTTGCAAAGGATGATGCTAAACTTACAGCTTTATGATTTAGAAGTTAGCTATACTCCAGGAAAATTTCTTTTCATCGCAGATACATTAAGTAGGGCACCAGTAGAAGGTCCAGATAATACTGATAGTGGAGATGAAGAGTTACGTATACATGGAAGTTTATTAGTTAACAATTTAGCTGTGTCTTCAAAGAAATTAATGGAAATACAGGCAGCAACCAAAACTGATAGAGTTTTACAGTCAATAATAAGATATTATAATGAAGGTTGGCCAAGTTCGAAAAATAAATTGGAAACGGAGGTTAAACCGTATTACAATTTCAATCATGAAATACATGTTGTGGATGGATTAGTCTTTAGAGGAAATCAAATAATAATTCGTGAGTCATTGCGTCAAGTTATATTAGAAATAATTCATGAAGGTCATTTAGGATATGAAAAATGTATTCGACAAGCACGTACGGTAGTTTTTTGGCCAGGCATGTCAGTAGATATAAAGAATAAAGTTGAACAGTGTCCAGCATGTCTTAAATATCATAGATCAAATAGTCCAGAACAACTATTACCACATGAAATACCAACTTTGCCTTGGCAGAAAATTGGTGTTGATCTTTTTTATTATAGTAAAGTCACATATATATTATTAGTAGATTATTATTCTAAATACTTTGAAATAGCGCCTTTAAATAATACTTCAGCAAAAGAGGTAATTAGTACAATGAAGTCTATATTTGCGAGACATGGAATACCATTGATCTTAATGTCTGATAATGGTCCCCCATTCTCATCAAAAGAGTTTCAGTCATTTTTAGTAGATTGGGACATTACTTATCAAAGTTCTAGTCCTTATTATCCAAAAAGTAATGGTTTGGTAGAGAGGACAGTTCAAACTGTAAAAAATATTTTTAATAAGTGTATAGAGTCAGGCTCTGATCCATATCAGGGAATGTTGCAATACAGAAATACAACGTTAGAATGTGGTTATTCTCCAGCTCAGTTATTAATGTCACGTAATTTAAGAATGAAATTACCTGTTAGTGAAAAAATACTCATACCAAAAACAATTGATAGGAACGAATATAGCAAATTTGTTAAGGAAAAAGAAAGGAAAGTAAAAGAATATCATGATAGGTCAGCTAGAAACTTACCGAATCTCTTTGTTGGAGAAAATGTATTTTATAAAAAGGTTCCATCATCACCGTGGTTACCAGCTACTGTGATAGAAGTAGGTCCTTTTCCAAGATCATATGTCGTCAGAACACCTGAAGGTGTACATTATCGTAGGAACAGACAACACATATTAAAGCCTGCCAGTACAATTAGTAGACAAAATAGTGAGGTGATAGTTAAGCATGAAAATAGTACAGCAGCTAGTTCCAATTTGTATGAGGCTCCAAATATGAACAACGATACATCAATTTCAAATCAAAGTTATGACAATTTAAATGTTAACTTAAATAGGTCACATAGACTAAATGTAAGTAATCAATTTTGTACCAGGAGTGGTCGAATTGTAAATAGACCAAAAAGGTTTTCATTTTCAGAAGAGTAATGCGGCAGTGTAGTGTTGCGGGTAGATCTAGGTTGTTAGGATAGTTTAGTTTTTTTTGTTAAAAAAAAGGGGCATGTTATGTTATGTGAACCTACCTTAATATTTGTAAACCTACCTTAACATGGGTGACAGGTGAAGGACATTGACAGCAGACAACAGTTGAAGAAGATGGCTCGTTAGATATAATCATGTATTAAGTTTAGTTGGTCTTTAATAAAAGATATTAAAGAAACTGGTCGTCAATCTTATTAAAAGCCCACAGAGACAACGTAACATGAACCAGTATCTATCATAACCTTAAATATTTTATTTTTGGCCATAGCATTTATATAAATTAAATTAATAGATTCAATAATTCTAAATCTTCATCTAAAGAAATATATACAGAAGGTTTTTCATAATGGCAATGGCCCAACTTGTAATTCAGATAGTTTACTGCACAAAGTTTGGATTGTTAGAATTGTCAGATTGTGTCTGACCACTTGAACGATCAAACAGGCTCAACTTGAGGAATCAAGCTAACAACGTATACAAATCTTCCGGTGACTACCATAGGTAAATAATATAACATAAAACTACTCTGTCAAAACGGCAATTAAAGCCGAGAGTATCTTCACTTTTACTAGTATTAAAACATTACCAAAAATAACGAATAAATCGACTTTTTCGATTCAAATCGATCTGAATTGTTTGGCCAATTTAGCTTGACTCCACTCCGCTTACATTCTACAAATTAGACCCCACAAATAATTCCCCCTTTTTCTCCGCAGCTCGTCCGTCATCCACAAACTTAAACAAACAACGAAAACAACTCCAACGAAAGTTCACACAACCTTCAAATACCCTATCCTAAATTGCGTGGTAAAAAAATGAATCCCTGACTTGCGATTAGAAAAGAAACTGCTTTTAAAACGGAAAATTGGGAGACTTGGATGTAAACAAATTCTTTCTTTATTTTTGAAGGTTATTACGTATTTAAAAATCTCGACTTTCATAACAGACTAAAACATATTTCTTGATGTACCAGGGGTGTACTACAACAATTTAAAACCGAATTTGTATTATCACAGAGACATTAAATATAAAACGCTACAATATTAACAAAATTTGGTACCTTTCTGTCACTGAATGCCTAAATGAAACTGTTTTCCAAAATAAAGGGTTTAATCACCACTCACTATCTTCGTTATCAGCCTCGGTTATTCTTCTTTTTGTGAAATTGCTTCTCCAAATATACACCACAATGTTTAAATTATCAGTTTCCACCATTTTAAAATATTTTTCTTATCAATAGCATTTATAAATCGGCAAAATATTCTTCTTTATTTATCGCTTTCTTGTTTATTCTTCTTTTTAATAATCTTTTTCTTTTTTTCTTCTTCCAATCTCCAAATAAATATTATAATTTTAATTTCTTCTAATCTCCATATTCATAATATAATTTTTAATCTCCAACTAATACTTTCTTGATACTATTTTTTCAATCTTCATGTAATATACTTTCCAAAATATTATAAAACTTTCATACTAAATCACTGTCTTCTGTATACTGACTTACTTACTAATGAACTGCTTATACTATTTACAGACCATACTGACTGACTAGGTAATTAACTAATAATGAATTATCATACTGTCCTCTCTTCCTACAAATCACCGAGTATTTATATCATTTCAATGTTCAAGAATAATCTTGAAAATGTCTCGTTACTTTAGTAAAGTCGACGTCATTGTCTTTACAAAGAGACGCTAATTGCATCCGAACGTCTGCGGTCCCTCAGGTGAGTACCGATTTACTCATTTTAAAAGGTTTATATTTATTCATGTTGACTTATGTTTAAGTTTCATGTATGAAAAAGTTGGCAAAAAATGATAAATTTCTTTATTATTAATTTCACGAAAAAAAATTATTCTTCACTAAAGGTTGTGCATCACATAAAATTATTAATCAATAATCTTATAAAATATTAATACTAAAGAGGAAAGTGATTTTAAATTTAGATATACAAAAAAATGTTACAATTATTCATGGCCTTCTAATAATTAAATAATACATTTAAAGTAAAAAGTAAATAAAAAAATACTTTTGCATTTGTTGATTTTGTATATTTAATAAGTTATCAGTTTATATATTTATTTAAATTAAATATGTAATGTAAATGCCAAATAAAATATAAAATTCGTTAAGCCAGCCCTTTTTACTATTTACCTGAAGAGGTTAATCTCTTTATGGCGTCAACTTTATCAGCGGGATACTTTTAAATCCTGAATAAGTCAGTTCTTATAATTGTGAATAAAGTTTAAATGGTGCAGGTTTCATAATTATTTCTATAATATGAAAAAAAAAACAAATTTTATTATAAACAATTTATTTATAGATACAAAAACATATAAAAATATTCTTTTATTACAACTTAAATATGTATGTAGTTATATTTATATTGATCAAACAATCTAATATAACCTCAATTTAACGTTCTTCTGCTAGGTATATAATTGCGTCAGTGCAAATTAAGTTTCCAAAAATATGTTTTATTATATTAAAATTCCTATTTAAACCATGTTTTCTTTTCTAATAAATCCTTTTCAAAATGTAACACAGCTGTGTGCTACTGTTCACTTCTTAGTAACATGGTAAAAGAAATTAGCTTAAATTGGAAAATCTAGTATCAATCTGGATACCAGTCGTTTCAGGAATAATATGAACAGTCGTTATTTTCTCCCCACGATAACTTTTTTTAAGATCTTGTAATTGTTGTTGAATTTCCTCATTGAGCTCTAACTTAAATCTTTTAATATTTGAATTCAGGACGCGATCATTTTTTATTTTAATTTTAAAGTTGGGTATTCTACGCTTTAATCGAATTACTGACTTTTGACCATTCACTGTTAAATCGTGTTGTATCGTAGACTGTAATCTCTGTTTTTCTCTAATTCTATTTAAACGCATCTGCGCATAATTATTTGGTATACGTCTTTTGCGAATAGTATTGCGGAGGGTAAAATTTTTGTTAAAATGTATTTTTGGTGTAGAAGTATCAACATCAGTGCATGGTAATTTACCTATTCGTTGTTTAATAGGTCGCTTTTGACCATCACGTAGCATAGGACTAACACCTGAAGTGGCATTTTTTTTGTAATAAATTTCCTGAGCTCTTTTTTTCTTTATCGAATGTACTTTTATTGATTGAAGGTTCTTCTTAACGGTATTTATCTTAATGACATCTAAAATATAAATACAAATTAACAACTAAATTGAAATTATTACAAAGGACATTAAAAATGTTTTTATTAATTGTCTATTGTTCTATAAAGCTATATTTATAGTCCATATACAAGGTGAGTCGTAATTATTGAAAAAAAAAACTAGAATCTGGTTATTTGGACCAAAATAAGGCTATTGGGCTAAATATTGATTAATAAAATGTAAGAACATACTGCGTGTTTTGGAACCATTATATTGAAAATTTTAGAATTATATTTATTAAATAACCAAAAACGTTTATTATTAATAATATAAATTTTATGAAATAACCCTTGAAGTCTAATATTCCACAAAATAATAATTGTAATTAAATAAATTCGCAATTGTAAACAAATTTTATTGACAGTTAGGCGTGTGGCAAAAGTGTATAAAGTGTTGCCGCTTTTTTAGAGTAGAAATTTTGTTTTTTTATTTCTTACATAATTCTTACATATTTCTTACATAATATAATATACATCTTTAATCATAATATAATATATATTAATAAATTGTGTTTATAAATACATATTAAATTTAGATTAATAGCTTTAAAAACTAATTATTGTTGTGTATTGTAATTGTGTTATGTCAAAACAAATAAATAGTCTGTAGAAAGCTGATAAGCTTTCATATAAGATAGATTATTTTGAACAAGAAATAATAGCGGGACGTTTTTAAAATTAAAGCCCTAAAAGTGGTAAGTTTAAAATTTAGAATATATAATTTTGTAGTTTATTCGTCTTCCGGGTTTGGACCGTGTCATTTGTGAGTGACCCAAAAGTGGGTTCATCTCGACGTTTCGCTACAATTGTATGTAGCTTCTTCAGGAGAACAAAGAAAAAGAAAAAGAAAAAGAAGACAGGAAGATGGGTAGTTAGCAACGGTAACTCAGTTACTCAACGCAACCAGAGGCGAATACTAACTACCAAGATGGGCATTTGGTCACAGTAACTCAACTACTCAACGCAGCCAGAGGTGAAAACCAAATGCCAGGACAGGGATTCACGTCCAACAGCTCAGAACACTAACGCGTCGAGAGGCGGGGAGTGAATCCCCGCCTCTCTCTCGAATGAGGATTCACTCCGCTCGACTCTAACAAAGATGCGGCTGTGTATATTTCAGCCGACCAGTCTGATGAGAAGGCGCTGGGGCGCTTCAAAGAGAGGTATCTCAGACCTTGTGGCTACTCCGGTAGTTGAGGACGAAGAGGGTGGAGTTGGCACAATGTTCAATTCAGTGAGCATGGTTGATGGCGATGGGCGAAGGGTTTGCTCCGAACGTTACATCCATAAGCTCATACCTAACAACATGCACCTACCTCAAGCTGGAATGGGCTGCTGAAGGTAAAGAAGTTAAGGCCACGGTGTATGGACTAAAGAAGAGCTGGGCAAGTACGGTCAAGCCCAGAGAGAGCAAGGGTGTTGTAGTACTAACTAAGGCGAAGGACAAGTCCTTCGATGAACTACTTGGCGAGCTACGCACAGATCTGTGCGGCAGGAATGACGTCGTCGTTAAACGTCTTAGGAAGACTAGGGACCAGGGCATTGCCCTGGAGCTGGGAGGAGGAAGAGATATGGCAGAGACGGTAAAGGGCCTTGTCTCTGCTAGACAGGGCACCGTCACAAGAGCAGTGGCGAAAGGTGGTACAGTCAGGCGTGAGCTTTTTGTAAATGGAGCGGACGGCCTGACCAAAGATGGCGATATTATCAGCGCAATTGAGAGTTTTGCGGGACGGTAGGAAGTCTGTCAAGTCAGAGGACCTCTCCGTAAGGCATACGACGGAGACCTTAACGCCACAGTTGAGGTCGATGAAGACATTGCAATGCGCCTTATACGAATAGGATCTCTTAGGGTGGGATTTATATCCTGCACAATTAAAGAAAAAGTCCGCATCGCCAGGTGCTACAAGTGCCTGGAGTACGGACACCGTAGGTCCGAATGCAAAAACGAAGAACTCAAGGGATGCATCCGGTGTAGCGCAGAGGGTCACACTGTGAACGAATGCCCAGAAGAAGGATACAAATGTATCAATTGCAAAGTCACGGGACATCGAGGAAACTCGATGGAATGCCAGAAATTTCGCCAACTGGTCAATACGGCCAGGGAAGAAAAAGTAAAGAGAACTCAGTCCTAGGACTGGAGCAATTGAATGCGTGTGTCAGTGGATACGAGAGTGAATGCGACTGTGTGCATGTGTATGTGATAACTATTGTCATGTGTATCCAATGGCTTCCAGAATGCAGAGAAGTGATTTGAAGATACTCCAGACTAACATGGGCACGGCGAGATTAGCACATAATCTCGCCGTGGCTTTCGCTTCGGAGAAAAATTTCGACATACTAGTCGCGGCAGGATTGGATTCTCAATCTTTAATAAGAAAAGCCAGGGACAGAAATGATTTTGCTCAGGTTATCGCCAACCTTCATTGAAGACGGCACCCAAAGAAGAAGGGAGTCGCGGCAGAACCAAACCCTACGCTGGTTAAGAACCGCGGATGGATCGTAGATGCATCAGGTAGGATCGGCACACATTTCTGTAACAGACGCTTACGTGTGTATGAAGTTGTTAGACATGACGGATATCTGATCGCAAAGATGGAGAGAATGAATCTGGTCTGTTGCTATATTTCCCCGAATATAGCAATCGGCGCGTATGAGAATAAGCTGGATGAGATCATGAATGAAGTGAGAAGATTAAATCAGGAGTGTGTGGTACTAGGAGACTTCAACGCGAAATCTGCGGAATGGGGTTCTCCAATCACCGACACTAGAGGTCAAATGCTGAGCGAATGGATTGGAACACTGGACCTTGTCGTTCTCAACAGGGGTTCAGAACCCACGTTTGTGAGAGACAATTCTGTGACAGGCTCGTATATCGACGTTACCTGCGCGTCTCAACGTATATCTGGCTGTGTAAACGATTGGACGGTGCTGCAAACCTACACGGGCACGGAGCACCGCTACATTGGATTCTCTATACCCGGGATGGGCGTAGCTACTAGAAATAGTAGATCTCAGGGCCCGGGAGTCCAATGCGGAATGCAATCTACTAATTGGAGAGTGTATGATGAGAGTGTTAGATGGGAAGTGGAAATAGTTCGAAACCAGCCGCCCTCGGCGGATAGCCTAGAACAAGTGATAAAAGGTGCGATGAGGACCAGTAAGGTAGACCCACAAAGGGTAAGGATAATGCCTTACTGGTGGAATGCTCAGATTGCGAATGCTAGGATAGAATGTGTGGCCCTACGTCGCAGGGTACAGCGTGCAAGGAGACGTAGAGCAAATGCTGATGAGGTGCTGCAAATGGAAAATGAATGTCGTGCACAGAAGAGGGTACTAAATAGGCTCATTCGCTCTAGTAAAAAAGAATGCTGGAGACGTCTGTGCGACGAGCTAGATGAGGACGTATGGGGTCAAGGTTATAAAATTGTAATGAAGCGCTTTGACGCGTACCCCCTATACGAAATGCCGCTGGATAAGAAACTCTCGGTAACACGGAAGCTCTTTTCATCTGGTGCGTCTGCTGAACAAGCTGAAGCCTTCTCCCTAGACGAACTCGATGAATCGTTGGGGGCCATTAAGCACCGTAAGGCACCGGGCCTAGATGGAATACCGCCGAGGCAATTAAACTGGCCTACTGGAGCCTGCATGGCTCCTGGGCCACATGAACGCTGTTCTTGTGCGACAGAGCTTTCCTGCAGACTGGAAAACATCGAAATTGATTCTCCTGCCTAAAGGAGAGGACAAATATCGACCTATTTGCCTCCTATCTTGTATTTGTAAACTGTTTGAGAGAATGCTGAGCGGGAGAATTGATGGAGCAATTGGGAGGTCTGGAGGCTTATCCCCTAGACAATATGGTTTCCGTAAGAATGTTAGCACGACTGATGCAGTGCTGGGAGTTTACCGAGCGCTAAATATAGAGGCCCGCGACCAAAAATGGGCTGCATTGCTCTTACTAGACGTTAAGAACGCCTTCAATTCCCTGCAATGGGCAACAGTGATGAGAGCGGTTGAGGATAGAAACTCCTGGCTACTTGAGGAACCTTATCTCAGACTATCTATCTGAGAGAAGAATCCTGGTTGAGAAGGGTGTGATTGTGGATGTTACGGCTGGGGTGCCACAGGGGTCCGTCCTTGGACCAAAGCTATGGAACCTGGCATATGACGGGGTTTTGCGGCTTGAATACGGAGAGGGGGTCACCCCCTTCGCATTCGCGGATGACTTTGCATTGCTGGTAGTAGTACGGGACACGGAAGAACTTCTGTACAAAGCACGGAGTGCATGTACCTTGCAAGAGATTGGATGAGTGAGCGTGGTCTGAAACTTGCTGAGGAGAAGACCGAGGCCGTGATGCTTAAGGGACCTAGGAAACGCGAGAATGTTATATTTGAGTGCGCTGGTGCGGAGATCACTCCAAAAAAGTGCGTCAAGTACTTGGGAGTAACTCTTAACACCAGTGGAAGTTGGGGCGAGCATTTGCGGGTGGTGACGCGCATGGCCACCCAGAGAGCGTCTGCACTGGGAGGGATAATGCCCAACATAGGCGGGCCTAAACCTGAAAGAAGAAGGGCTCTACACGGAGTAGTGCAATCTATCGTTCTTTATGCGGCACCAGTTTGGAGCGGAGAGATAGATATATCATCCTACCGTAGACTTTTAACACGAACAGACAGAACAAGCCTGTTACGCGTAGCAAGCGCCTATAGAACTGTTTCTGCAGCAGCATTGTGGGTCATCACTGGCTGCATGCCCTCTCACATCTTGGCATGCGAAAGGACCGGTTTATTTCATCGTGCTCGTAACACTGGTGTGACTGAGAGTGCAAAATGTGAAGAGAGAACCACATCTATACAGATATGGCAAGCCGAATGGGAGGCAACTGTGGATGTGGCACAGTGGACAAGTCACTTATACCGAACGTAAAGACGTAGCTCGAATGTGGACACCGGCGTTTAGATTATTTCCCGTCGCAGGTTCT